CACCGCGGCCCCGGGGCGCGTGTCCCCGCGGGCGGGCGGGCCCGTCCCGGTGCGACACCGCGCCCACCCCCGTGCCCCGGTGTGCATGTCTCCGTGTGCCACCCCGTGTGCCGCTGTGCATGTCCCCGTGTCACACCACGCACGTCCCCGTGTCCTGGTGTGCACAGCCCCATTCGTCAGCGTGCACATCGCCACGCGTAGCGTGTCCCTGCTCAGCAGCGTGCATGTTCCCGTGTGGCCGTGGGCACGTGTCCTCGTGCATGAGCACGCACGGCCCTGCGTGTTGTGCCCTGTACCGCAGAGCACAGGCTGTCCCCATGCCCCGCCACTGCGTGGGGACCCCAAGGACGAGAAGACAAAAGCTGCCGTGCCCTGGGACACCAGCCACCCCCAGTGGGCTGCTAGCCCTTGCCCTGGGGAGCAGGTCCCATGCTGGAGACTCATCTCTCCAGGGGTGGGGGGGTTGTGTCTCACTCCAAGCACAGCACAGCCACAGGTACCAAGGTGTCCCAGGCCACCAGGGACCTGACACCACTGTGTCACCAGCCACCCCAAGGATGGCAAATACAACCCCAGTCTCAGGAAACCACTTCATGCTACAAGGGGAAAAGCGCCCCACCCTTTGCATCCCACCCAGGGGCTCTGCCGGCACTGGAGCTGGGTGCCAAGGCAAGGGACGCTGTAGCGGGGCCCCGGCCACCGTGCTGCCACCGCGCTGGGTCTGCACGCAGCAGCCGCCAGGGCTGGCAGCCAGTGCTCCCTGCCCGCCCAGGCTGCCAGATCAATCCACTATTAAACAGCACTTTATTACCCAGCCCAGCAATCGTTTTTAAATGTGTGCAAGAGGAGAGGCCCAGGGGAGCTGGGGCCTCACGTGCATGCCGTGCTTGCAAGAGGGATTTGGGGAGAGCTGCCCCTCCTTACTGCTTTCCCTGCCTGCAGTGAACCCAGCTCCATGCCCACCTGCCCTTGCTGTCACCCAGAAAGTGCGTCCTCTTCTCCCCTCCCAGGCACGGGGACGTGGGGAGAAAGCAGCCGGCTCGGCAAGCTCTCCTCATATTTAATGCATTGAAGCACTGCCATTTTCTCCCTCCTTCTCCAGGCTTCTGTCTGAGCAGGGCCCCTCTCCCCCACGCCGGCGACCGTGGGTCCCTGAGCTGCCTCACACACAGCCAGCTTTCCTGCAGACTCTGAGAAGCTGGGCTAATTAGGGGCCTCGCTGCTGCAGGATCAATGACCTGATTCCTTCAGCAGCTTCTTGATGGCAGGAGCGCGGGGAAAAGGAAGGCTTTTCTCTAAGCTGCAGCCAGAGTGACAAATTTAACCAAGTGGAAGAGCTCTGAGCTTTCCCGGTGTGTCTGTACCAGGACAAGGCACATATGCACTGTCCCAGCGCCTGCAGGGAACCCTGCTGAGAGCTGCGAGGGGTAAGGGAGAGGTCCTCTCCTGCCACCCTGGCTGGAGATCCAGGCCATCCATGAAAAACACATTTCCTTCCAAACCATGTGTTTCCCCCACAGTAGCTGTTGCTCTCCCTACGGCTCTCTGCTCTGTATCCCCCTCACCTCTGCACAGCCCTGTAACACCTGAACATGTGTGCCCACATCCGTGGGTGGGGCCAGCGCTGACATAAGCCTGGCTGGATCAGGATTTCACTCTGGCTCCCCCAGCCCCTCCT